ATATCTATACATTTAAATGTCCTTCTTCCAACTTATATCGGTGAACTTGATGTTAACTACAAGTTAAAAGTTCGTCCATTTACTTCAAGTTTGATGAAGTCTATTCATGGCAAGAATCATCTTTTGTTGACACCATTTATAAAAAAGTATTGTGCACTTCCAGTGCAGGACAACCAACACATTAAACAAAAATTACAGTTATTTCAAATTAAGTTTCCAGATGTGGAAAAAACGGATATCATATATCAATTTGGAAATCAAATTCAAGAGCTCATTATAACAGTCATCAATAATTATTTTTTAGATTTAGGTTTCGTGTTCTCTGAAGTCTGAACAATTCGTGTTTTCCATAGGTTATTTATATAAATGTCATGTATTGTAATCATAAAAATTCAATGAAATATTTAAATGTATATTTAATTATTATGAAAAATTATAATTACTATACTGAAATCCATTAATTGTTTCATAGTTAACTTTAACTAACGTATTATTGCGATATATAGTTAATAGCTGTTCATTATTTCATTAATTATTATCAAAAATATAAATTAAAAAATAACATCCTTATATTTAATTACTATACAAAATACTATCTCATCGGTTATCGGTGTATAAGCAGTACCTTCCCGGCAGCGCGACGAATCTGAAACAATGAAGATGACCAATATAAATTTTATAGGTTTGTTATTTTTTTGCCGGTTCAACGATGAGCGTCGACTGGGTCGTTTAGGTGGATCTCGATTGCTTAACAAACGATGCCAGGAAATCCCATTGTTTTTTTTACCAAAGTAACGTCCTGCCAATTCGATGAAACAAAATTCAAAATCCGTTCTAGACACATTAAGCTGACGACTTGGTAGTAGTTCTCCTGGTAAAAAAGTCATACCGTTTCATTTCCGTTCGGTAGAAATCAACACCGAACGCCGGAGGAGGTAATGATATAAATAAGAAAAAAATTGTCCAACTGCGTCAACGGGATGACGGAAGTTTTTGAAAGTATTCCTGTCGATACTTGATATAATGTATGTACATAAAACGGTTTTTCGGCAGTTCATTTTAGCGATTGTTTCGCAAATTACATTGGGATGTTATTTCCCTTTTACCGCACCAAGGAAACTCGAGCTCAGCGTAAACGCCAGTTGACAACGCAATGGATTTTTATTTATATTATATATAACTCTCTGCGCCCGATCAGTCAACCGAATCGATCAGTCACTGTCCGGAAACAGTGAAGCATCTTTAGGATAATTTATTTTATTTTGAACTAATCTTGTACGTTGCACTCGAATGTTTTGTTAAAGTTAAATAAAAAATCAGCGCATATTGTGATGAAAATGTCATCGCTCATCAGCCATAGCAATGCATATTTGTAATAAACGTTGATAAAAATCCTCGCAGTGGAAATATTGGTTTTACATTAATTGTTTTTAGGCTGTTGACATCTTTTAATGGATTAATAAAAAGAGTTTGTCATTATTATTTTTTTTTGGAGGTTCACACTACATCTATCCTTTCAGTGGGATTTCCGGACGGATTTAGATCTACATGTAAAAAAGCGAAATCGACTCTGATATTAGTGTAAGCATTAAAAATCCCAAAATAGATGAATCTGGCAAAAAAAAAAATCGTGTTTACGTTACTATATATTTTAGTTTTAAATAAACTTGAGCGTTTTTTCTTACAATTTGTATTTTAGAACTACTATCACAATTCTGTGAGTTACGACCGTTGGAAATCGTGAATTTATTTCCGGTAAACACACAGCACACTTTATGTTCGGTTTGAAGACCAAATCAAAATACTTTACCATGACATAAAACTACCACGGCGAATCGTTCGGACGGGGGTATGTGTGCTTTTAAGTCGTCAACACACGGTCATAAACTCAGGTAAATCTCACCGCGGGCCCCTTGGCTTAAGGGTCAGGCTGGCAGTCGGGCCTCATAAAAATAAAAAGGTTTCCATATAAATCACGTCACTAACTGTTTACCTACGAAATCAAACGGCCGGATCCCAGTCATGGACCATTGAATGTCTTGCACGGCAGCAGAATCCCGAGATCGTATTAATCATTCACGGTCGGTCGAAAGTCCGCTTTGTCCACCAGTCAGAGCAATCCTAGCCACGTCGGTGTTCGGGCTTTTAACAAAAACTATAATGAAAAACAATGGATCATGAATATGTCTTATGGCACCTGAAAGAAGGAATTTTAACAAAACCGATAAACATGTGCATGTTCATTTTCCTCTCCTCCTTTCCCTATGTATAAAATATCCCTCCACACCTCCAATTATTAATGATATCTTATTATCTTTATCTTAACAGGAGCAACTATCAGCTGCAATTCTTTGTGCGGCTGTTTCTTATCACTATCGTCAAGATTTGGTCAGGTGTGCCATATTCATGTCGAAACCATAAAACTCAGCAGAGTTGTTTGAAATATTAAAGGTTCGCATAATTTCCATTGCTATTCGACAGTAGCTGAGCGGCACACTCAACAAAGATTGTAGGTCAACCCGGTAGTCTATAAATTAAATCTGAACGCACACAACCTTTGAATTGAGTATCATACTAGAAGGGTTTAACGTTGCCCGATTTGCATACAGATTCAGTCGCGACCGGAAAGCGTGCCCGTAATTAAATAAATATCGGTCCAACGTTATAGACTTTGTTTCTCGACCTCTGTCGACGGTCAGCAAATAGTATTACATTACAGTGTACAATAATAATTGAAAGCACGACCGGAACACAAGTAAAAGTGTCGGTCGCCAGTTTGTCTTCACCATAAAACGACCGCTATAAAATTATATACGGTTTGTAAGTAATAGCTAACACAGCCTCAGTTGTCCGACATTTGTTATTAAGAGATCATAATATATTTTTTGTTATCTCATCGTTAAACATACATGAAATGCCACTTTCACGAGTCGATTTGTTTGTTTTACAATTTCATAAGATTACAAATTCTGATCTATATCAGTAGCCGTTTGTTTATTTTCTAGAACACCCGATTGTCTTCATGTGCGACGGTAAAAAAAAAAACTATTATTATATTTATTAACTGAATGAAATCTTCAATGTCGATGCGAAGCTGATAAAATGTTTTTTTTATAATATTGTGTTTTTATTTTTGTGTCTGAACCCACAATATCGTCGGAGCCGTTGAACGGATTTCTTAATGTAGCCACTCTATAGATCAGAAATCGTTCCTTCTTAAGATAAAGTACAATTTATCAACGTTGACAGACCAAACGAATATCGTATACCATTTTCCCTAGAGGAGGAACGGAAACTTTTTCTTTATTTCTCTTTCTCGAAAAAACTTTTAGGAAGGTCTGAAGGTCTGAAAATTAGACTGATGGCAGATCTAGAGTAGGACCTGACATAAACAATTTTCTTTAAGAACCGTAGTCAAACTTCTTTTTTTATAAAGAAAAAACAAGTTGAAAGTGATAAAATTACATTCAATATCATAGTTCCTGTAGACCTGTGACCTCCCCCGTTTCAATATGCTCCGTTCCACAGACATAGTAGGGCTAAGGTTTAAATTATTTTGCAGTCAATTATTTTATTGTTATTATTATATTTTTTTAAACTATACTTACTTAAGGTTAATATTAAAGCCACGAGAAACACGCTTACCGTTTTATTGTTATTTTTTTTCATAGCATTGCATTGGTAAACAATGGCCACTCATTCAAATGCAAATGAAAATAATTTTCGTTTCGAATTGGCTCTCCGAGTTTACTGGTTTTTTTTTGTTCGTTTCTCCGTTGGACGATATTGGCTGTAAAACAGTAATTTTTATGCATTTTATATTGTCTTTTTTTATCCCCCCCCCCGTCGTTTGTTGACTCTGTTATACAAACTTTGACAAAACTTCTTTGGCTGATATGCGTCTTTAATGAGTATAGTAAAATAAAAAGTTGGTAAACGGTTTTTTGCCCTACCATTGTTTCCATTCCACCGAATGCCTCTGTGACAACCCAAACGATTTTATACGAGACTTAATTGTGTGTAATCGGTTTTGTGTTCTCCATCGCTTTCGGCCGGCTCTAACTACTGCCAAAAAATAGTAATAATATTATACAGGGTTATCCTAAGTTCGTAGTACAATGATATTTCGCAATGAAATAATAAAATATAAAAAAGTTTCCAACAAAAAAAATCTAAATAAATTTAATGATAAAAAAATATATTTATTACCTATTTAATAATAAATACAAGGTTGTTCTGATGGTCATTGAGTATAATAAGGATTTTTTTTGAAATATTTATAGCACAAACAATTTATCCATGGTAAAAAAAATCACAGTACCATGAAATTTGTATACCCTGTATATTATGAAAGAAAAAGACAGGTCAATTGGGTTACGGGCGGCTAACAACAATGTGAGGAAGGGAATGTGGGGGGCCGTAGCAATATAATAGTCGATTTGTTTTTGGGCAGACTTCCAAAAACACAGACGAACTTATCCAGTTTTCCCAGGGGAAATTTTTTTAACGGTAGTCCAACGTTGTTGTATAATTCCGGTTAGGTATTAAGGGAGTTTGCATTAGCATTAGCGGCGGAGTGATCCTGTTTAATATTTGATAATGTAACGTTTGCCTAGATCATTTTTCATCAGATAACGAGGTAGCATATTATAACGAGTGGGTAATTAATATCCACGGTAATTTCAGCTTTATGCTCGTTAAGATAAACTCCGACAAGATATCGATTGGCAAACGTCGGCAACGGTACGAACGGTCTGCATGTTTTCCATACTATTATAAAATGGTCGTTGTCATCATATTGTTTGAAACTTCTTGGCCGTCACTACGATAATCCGATCACTTGAGTGGTTAAGTCTTAGGGGAGACCCTTCGCCACAATTTACACAACAGAGTTGTTATTGCTATTTCATTTTCCCCGTCGACCCAATCCAAATAAGATTAAATCTAATCTCGAAACAAGAGCCGTTTTTTTTAAAAATGTTTTGATTTTTTTTCCGCAGGTTTTTCCTAAAGCACACGTCCATCGAACAGGCTTTCGACATGCTCCAGGAACAGGGATTCTACATGGCCGGCAGCTGCGGTTCCGGGACGGCTGGTGGTACGTCTGCGGCAGAACTCAAACCCGGCGTGGACTCTGAGGAGAGCCGTTGGAACCATTACAACGAGTTCGTGTTCGTCAGAGACTCCTGAACTGCCGCCACAACCTCGCCCGCTGTTCCAGACCAAACCGATATTTTGTAGATACTATTATCATCATTATCATTATTGTTCATTTTTTCGCGGTATTTTTTTTTTTCCAAGTGGTAATTCTTTTGTCGTTGTTTCGTTGGTCATCGTCAAAATCATCATAACCAATATTGCCGTCGGTAATCTTATCATTATTACTTTTATTGATCCTAATATATAATATATTAACATTATAGAGTTCAGAGATGTTAGTAAAATAATAATAAATAAAGGATAACGGTTCGTAAACTCCAAGTCAAATCTATATCCGATTATGGCGATTTATAATTTTAATAATATAATATAGAAATATAATATACGATTAATATTTGAAGTTTTGGTCTCGTTTACTTTTAGTGTTATCGTTGTCTATTATTATTAAAATATCGTACGTATCCATTTTTTAAGTATTTAATAAGAATATTTCGTTAATTACTAACGTTATTTTAGAACCAACGATTTTAGGTGAGAAATAAAAAAAAAAGTAAGTAACCCCTTTTAAGCGCCGTTATTATCGGATTTATGATCGTATCTCTTATTTTTTTTTTTAATAAATAAACAAACCTAGTCTTCGTTTTTATTACTATTATTATACACGTTACGTGACTATACTGTGTTGTAAATTTTATTATTTTTAATTATATACATCAATAAATATATAATATTATACATTTATATTTACATATTATAATATAGATGCTCTAAAAGCGAAAAAAAATATTTATATATATATTTAAAATAATTTAATATCGTTATTATTTATTATAATTTATAAACTATTATATATTATGGAAAATAAACCATTACTAAACGTCGATATTAAACAACGCTACATAATGTATTAATTACTTAATTTCTTATTACCATCATTATTTATATAAATGCAAAACTCATTGCACGTTTTTTTTAACGGGGGAGAACGGCTGTTCTAGTCTTGTCTCATAACATTTATTTATGAATTTTAAGGATAACGAGTTATAGTTTTTAAGTGCAACAAAAATTAAAAAAGAACATCCAAATACTGTGTATTTATTTACACTTCCTTAGACTTTTGATCGACAATAAGGATACCTTTAGTTCCACAGGCGGTTTATCAGGCGGAAAAGACGCATCAGACTATAAAAGGATGTTAACATGTCCTTTCCTCGTGGAAAATATAACCGCGCGTAAGAAAATTATAGGTACAAGTGTTTGTCATTATTCTATTTGATTACATTAAATCTTTAGCGAAAAGTAAAACAACGCGATTAAGGTAAGCTAAAATATTTTTGTTGTGATTTAAATTTAGTAACTTTTTAATGATATCGTCGGGCGTTCAAAATGATAATTTCAACGAAGAGCCATCGCGGTGGTGATTTGACGGTTTAAAAATATCTATACATTTGTAAGGTTATGATATTATTTTGGTCACGTAAACCCGTATTATTATTATTAGAATCCTCGAACGAGACCTCGGTTGTGATGAAGATAGTTTATTTCTTTAATGGTATTACCTTTTATGATTACACTGTGATTTTCACCGGGAGTGTTATTCAAATATTGTGTATTTTTTTTCCAAATGAGCAAAAACGGAGGGGTAAAAAACGTTGGATTAAAAACATAAGCTATTTATTTTGTTTTTTTTTAATACCCGAGATTAGCGAAGAGATAATTACACAACAGGCAATGTATAACCGAGATGACTCGACCTTCGGATTTTGTCGTTGCATACTTAAAACAACTTAAAATTTCGTTTGCATTATATTACTGGCCTTTAATTAATTTTGCTTAGAGATTATTACTAACATAAACAAAAGATCTTTTGACTAAACAAAAATGTACTGTCGTCATTGGCCATGTGAATCATATCCATAGCAACATTCTCAAATTTGTATTTATTTAATAAATAAGTGGTTAGGTTCAGCGTCTAGGCTGAGTAAGTTTATAACTGATATTAACTGTTATTATTGTAGTAATTTTGAAAATAAATTATAGTTTATTTAAGAGAAAAATAGTTCGCCTAAAAAACATTGATTTTATGTCTTAAACACAAGTTTGGCCTTAAGATTAATACTTTTTTTTTAGTATAACATTAATTATACCTCTGATTATTGAGCTGATATAGAAATTAACTTCGACGAAGATGAATTATAGCTAAAATACAGTTTCACATAAATTAATTCAGTTACTAGTGGAAATGCTATTGCTGGATTTTGTCACACATACAGTATGAACGAGATGGTATGTATGTTGTTACTCATATATATTTAAATAATATACGAAGCGATAAAAACGGAAACTAAATGAAATACCAAGTCGTTTAAACGTTTTTCAAATTCCATTTTGTCATAGTAATTGCTTTGGCATGCGACAGTGCCGACTGGCGGATGTAGTTCCCAGGTGTACTATTACACGTTTGCTTAATACAAATAAAACATTGTGTGCTTTTTAGTGTATTCTTGAAATACCTCATAACTCTAGAAAAAAATTATAGGAAAAAATAAGGTAGCTATTTTTAATAAGCAAGTGTTCCAATAATAATACTATGTAGCCGATCTAACATGCGACTATCTACCATTAACATCATTATGGAGATTGATAATGGAGAATAAACTGATAAGATATTAGGACGGTGTCTGAATAAAGATGAGTAGAGGACGGTGACTGAATAAAGATGAGTAGAGGAAATATTTCGATATGATAATAACAATGATGATTGGTGTACGGTTGGGGCTCGCCGTAAAACACATTTTTCTATGTTGTATTTTAATTTCGGAAGGGTTCAATGTTTAGTTTATCATAAAGGGAGTTTTGAGACCTCTTTCGCAAGACCTCTCTTGCATAAGCTTATTGTAAACGTCATGGGTCGTCAGTCTTGACGTTAAGAGTGTTCGACAATAGGGTGTTAACTGTATCGTTATCAATTAAAAAGTTTACCGCGAGTTTTTAAACTGGCACAAGGAAGTCCGAACGGAAACCGTAGTTGGTCACGATATTAATTTCATTCGCGTGCACTGTCGGCAAAACGGAAATAACAGCGTGCTATCGTCGAGCAACAAGAGGGCCGTACTTAAGAAATTAGCCGACAGAAGTGTTAGGCAATCTGCAGGGTAAGCCCCGGGGAAAATCTATTGAGACACGAAATCACACTAGTGTAAAACGTACATTGTTCTTGTTTTCTATGTGAAGCAATGTGAAATTTTACAGAAAAGTAAATATACATGGTATCTAGTCGAAAACTCTAAGAATAAAACTGTACAAGGCAGTCCCCCTAGGTATATAATATATAAATAAATAGTTTTTTAGTACTGTTTAAAAATTTAAAAAAACAAAAAAAAGCGAAAAATAACAAAGTAAAGTTAATACAATGAGTCCCGCCTAAATAATATGATGTACATAATATAATGTCTAGTCCCATAGCATTTTTAGTATTTTTTTAACAGCATTTTATCGATTTTACACATCAAAATATTACATAAGCAAACGTCAAAGATGTTTGACATTTTCAACACATTCAAACAATAACATGAAAATTGCTTATACCGGGTGATTGGTTAACTATGACTCAGTCAATAACTTTTATAGCAAATAGTTGAAAAAAATTGATAAACCTCTCCATCCCTTGTATGTAAAAATCGTACGAAATTAAGTTTTTTTTAATGGTAACGATTATATTTGTTTAACTTTTTAAATCAAGAATAATTTGCTGAACATTTTGATGGGTCGATAACCAGTTTAGGATAATTATTTTCGAAGTTATTAAAATGTAAAATGTAGGACAAGAGGAAAGGTGGACAGCAGAGATATATTAATCTAGCACATTACTCAGCCGTACTTCCCCTCTTGTCATAACGTTCTACTAACACAAATATCTCGGTTACCAATAGTCGGTAAAGATGCGTTTGTGTTGTATTTAACACAGAATATGCAAACACTCATTTTAAAATAACAAGACTTTGTTATAACAATATATTCAAGACAAATGTTCTGCGACAATACATAAGAAAATAGTAGTCTACTAACACAAAAAGCTATAGATATTAGCCGGTAGCAATGTCAGGTAAAGTTTTAATCGGGTTCCATTTTATTTTTGTAATATACTTCAACAGCAAACAAACATTCGCATCCAACGCGGTCAAAAAAGATCTATCTGACGTACTAAATGCACTATTAGGCCATCAACAATGGACACAGCTTACCGACGTGGAAGCTAAACATCCGGATTTCCCAAACGAGTTTGTTTCGTTTTCAGGAAAAGATTTACTCATTTACAGAGGTTTGTTCTCTCGTGAGAAAAACACTGAGCATTCTCATGTTAGTGTTGATAATGTGTTTAAAAAGCACTACATGGTCACTTCATTGTTAGGATGTGTGTACGCGAACAAGATCGTTATATTTACAACGTTGATCGAAAACATTTTATCTGTAAGTAGTAATGATAGACTATTATCGCGAAAAAAAGCATGGAGAAAACGAGACCGTGCGAGAAAGACCGTCAATTTGAAAAAGAGTAAAAAGTCGAAAACTAATGTACAACATGATGAACCTGATAAACCTGATGAAAATGACGATTCAGAGGTCCAGAGAGAAAACGAACAGAAAATTGTCAATAACGGAGAATTATACGACTTACCTGACTATGAAAATGCTTGGAAAATTTTTAATTTTACAATTCAACAATTATCGGATAGTCAGCCGATGTTTGAGTACATATATGACGCATTAGTTTATTTATTTAGTTTGATTCCGCCCGAGGAATTTTATTTATATCCTAACATAACAGACGTACTAAAAATAATAGATTTAGCGAAGTGGTACAAAGATGTATTGATAAATTTAAATCGTCTTCTTCCAACTTATATCGGTGAAAACGATGTTGACTACAAGTCAAAAGTTAGTCAGTTTACGTCAAAATTGTTGTTGTCCATTAAACGCAGGAAACACCTTAAGTTGACATCGTTTGTAGGCAAACATTGCAGACTTTCGGTGAAAAAGAACCAGCCCATCAAAAAAATATTACAGCAAATCCGGAATGAGTTTCCAGGTATAAAAAAAACCGATATAATACATCAATTTGAAAAGCAAATTCAAGAGCTCGTTAAAAATTGTATCGATAAATACTATTTAAAATTAGGTTTCGTGTACGTAGAACGATTACATTTTAATGTCTTTTCCAAAATGATACATTATTTATGAATTATTATATTAAAAATACATTAAAAAAAAAAACATCTAAGTTTAATTATTATACAAAATTCGTTTATATTTAAATCCCGTTAAACCTTTTACTGTATTAGAAATGTTATTGCAGAATAATATATTTTTTTTATATTACACAACCTATTTAATGTGTATGCAGAATAATATAATATTACTATATATTCATTTGTTTTAAATATCCAATAGTAATAGGGACTCAATTCAAACTGTCCCACATACTCATAGTTAAATAGGTTACAGGAAGTAACTACTATGAGAGACTTTTTACTATTAATCAAAATAGATACGAACATCTGATCCACAGAACGGTAAGGAGATAAGTTCTAAGCTATATTTAATCATGAACATATAACATTACATTGTAGACAAGTGTTTTATAACCATACGTATGCAAATAGTCGTCTACCAATACAAATATTTCTAGGCATTTGCCGCTAACGATACGTTGGTTTTACTTTAATACAGAATGCTAGTGTAAAATCTAAATTCCCGTTCACCATATAGAACTTCACTTGACTGA